CTAGAAAAAGGGTCATTTTGTGAGAAAATACATTTACTTTCAGTGACGAGCGTCGTTTTTGCCTTTTTCTGATAATTTTATTTTTTCAAAATATAAAAAATCAGTCGTAAATACGTTTCTGAATGGTTTCTGAATGTCCAAACCATGCTCACCACAAACTCTGTTTTTTTCCTCTTCACGAAAAGTAAAAAGTCATCGGTGTTGGTGGTCGTACACCTTCCCGAAGTCGCGGAACAAAAATGACAGATTTTACGGTCAGATTTTTTGACAGTGATAAAAAATAGTATCAGTGGCGCCCCTAGCGAGCTTTTGCATTGCTACTAAATGCAACCTCCAATGTTTTACCTATAATATTGTGAAAGTTACATATATTATGTCAGTGTCAAGTTGTTCAATTTTCTGAATAAAGATTTAATTTTTTGTAGGTAATGGGGTAGTTCGAGCATATGATTCTCTATCAGAATCTTGCAAAAATGCGGTCCTGAAATCACCAGAGAAAATAACTAGTACAAACTTGCGCAAATACATGGCAACCATAACCCAGGTATTGTATCATTTAGTTACTCATTAATATGCCTCACACCGAAGGTATTCATTGAGTTGATTGACTCTTTGATGGGTTAATTAATCAACGATTAATAATTACCTCTTTGTAATCGGCCGAAAATAAATAGATTGATATATGACAGTGGCCGGTTCATTGTTTTACCAATCGGCTTAATTAATTCTTTGAAAATCGGCCGAAAGTAGATTGATATGATGCCATAGTGGCCGGTTCATTGTTTTACCAATCAGCTAGATTAAAGATCAATCGACTTAAGCCGACAAAAAACAGCCGATTAAGATCCCTGGTTGGGAGGTAACAAAACATACACCTGAATAATTGATTTTCTTGTTGAAGTTGTCTTCATACATAAAGATCTCTGAAAACCAAATCTGAAATAAATTTCATTTTGAACAAATATGACATGAAAAGCAGAGTATGCTTGCTCTTTCTTGAACACCATGTCCCTTTTCACTGGTTTGTGTCACGTACAGAAAGTCACATTTAATATAATTTCTCAGTTCTGCCAATGTTGGAATAGATTTTTTATTTGATTGCCATTTTCAGTCAACCACCTACTTAAATTTATATCTTCTTGGTAAACAGCTGAAAACATTAGGTGAAGCTATTGTGAATGGATTGACTTCTAATGTTCAATAAAAAATTTTACTTATAGATATTGCTGCAGATGAAAATACTGATGATGAGAATTTTATATATAACATTGAACCGGAGGATTTTATAGACCTGATTGAACTAACTACAAAGTGACGCAAATGTAATGATAGAACCAAATCGACAAAAGAAGAGAAAGAAGAAATAAGAACAACTTTTAAACCCTATTTTGAAAAAAAAATAAGACCAAAACCAGCGGCTTGCAAAAAAGCCATCGAACTGAGTCGGAAAAAAATGGCTTAATTTGTAAGCGCTCAAAAGAAACCTTGAAAAAAAAATTATTCCGGATGATTGACAAAATTAATAAAATGTAACAGAAATTTCATACCTCTGGAGGTCACAATTATTATCCGATTTAAACAAATGTCTGATTATATCACCAAAGAAATTGGTTCCTTTTGATATTTGCACATTTCCAATCGTAGCTTCCTGAATTATGGCCCCTGGTTGTACGAAAAATCTCCTTTTTTAGCCTGTGCTTCCGCTGGAGGTCACAATTATAATATTGAAAAAAATAACAAAAAATATGCCCGATTTTGACTCGGGTATGATCTAAACTCCAGCAAAATCATGCTAATAAAAATGAGTTATATTGAAATATATATTATTTTGAGTTTGTCTTTTACCATGCAGAAGAGTATACATACATGTACATGTACATGTATCATCACATTGGCAAAATCATGCTGATTAGTGAGTGCTAGAAATAGATACAAATATGATCAAGCAGGATATATTAATGGCAACTTGATTATGATTTTGATTACTATCAGATGGTTTGACTAAAATGTTAGCTGTACTATCATCAAATATATTTTAGTGTGCTACTTTCTCCGAAATTAAAGTTGCTTTTTCAACTAAATTATGGGGTGCTAACCAACCCTATTTGGGGTTTTCCCTATTTGTCACCTTTTGCACTGATATCCTGCCTGGGGACCGTGGTGGAACAAGACATGCAACATTGACATGCACGTAAAAGATCCCTTGACAGTTGGAATTTGATATGAGGCCATAGTGCTGTCTAGTCGTTCGGATGGGCTAAAAAATCAAGGTCCTGTGTAAACATTGGCATGCACGTAATAGATCCCTCAACAGTTGGAATTTGATATAAGAGTGGGCTGCTGTCTAGGCTGGCTAGCAGCCCAAAATTTTAATGTACCCTTGCAGTAGAAAGTACGAAGGCACAGCAAGAATCTCAAGGCGATAGTCCCATGGGAAGGTTAAAAAATATGGACTTATTTCGGTCAAATATTGGGCATGAACGTGAAAGAACCTTGACAGTTGGAATTTGATATTAGAGTAGGCCGTAGTGTTGTCTAGTTGTTTGGATGGGACAACAAAAGCAAGGTCCCGCGTACACATTGGCATGCATGTAAAAGATCCCTTGACAGTTGGAATTTGATATTAGAGTAGGCCCTAGTGCTGTCTAGTCGTTCGGATGGGACGAAAAACCAAGGTACCGCATACACATTGGATTTTTCAACTAACTTGTGGGGTGCTAGCTAGAACTTGAGGGGTCATTTGTCTGAAATTTAAAGTTGATTTTTCAACAACGAATAGTGGGGTGCTTGGCAAGCTTGAGAGGCAGTATATATGACATGTAGTGACCCGTAATTGACTCAACTGTGGGCTCATTTGTCTGAAATTTAGTGGGCTCTTGTCCAAAATTAAAGTAGATTTTTTTAGCTTAGGTGTGGGATCCAAGGAATAAAGCCAGTCTTTTGTCAGAAATTTAAAGAATTTGTTGTGAAAAGAAATGGGGTTTAATGTCCATCTTTTATGCATCGACTGGACTAATACAGTGTTCCGTGAGTGAAATTTTCCCAAACTGCGGTAATACGGCCGACTCTTATTTTGAATCCCAAGGGTTCTTGTACGTGCACGCCAAATTATTTTTGTAACATTTGAAAGACTGTTTACTGTTCCTTGACAGGCCCTTCGTCCTGCAAATAGCTGGCTTTTTACTGCTGTGGTCAAAGGGGAGATAACTGGCATCTTCCGAATCGCATCTGACGGCCTTGAGGTCGCGGCCTCTTGAACTAAATCGACCCCTGGGAGTCGCGTGGTGACCTTGGTTTGATCCATCAAGGTCATGGTCAAATGGCCATCATTGACCATTTTATCCCACTTCCGGTCGCCGCAGAAAATTTTCGAGGGCGCCACATGACGCACAGGGGTCGATTTAGCTTGTGGACCCTATAGAGGTCATAATTTTTATCCAATTTAAAAAAAATGTATTATTATATCACTGTTACACCCTAAGGACGCCTAAATTCGAATTTCGTGAAAATCAACTTAAAATTGACAGACAAAATGGCCGCCGTTTGTTCTCAAATAGTGTAAAAATATGGTACATGTATATCAAGGTTGTGGACCCTATAGAGGTCACAATTTTTATCCGATTTTGTTGAAACTTGAAATGTAAGTTTATAACACAAAGATCTGAGTTCCTATTGATATTTGCGCATATCGGACCGTAACTTCCTGAATTATGGCCCTTGATTGTACGAAAAATCGCATTTTTAGCTTGTGGACCCTATAGAGGTCATAATTTTTATCCGATTTAAAAAAACGTACTATTATATCACCGTTACACCATAAGGATGGCCGAGTTCGAATTCCGTGAAAATCGGCCCAAAACTGACAGTCAAAATGGCCGCCCTTTCTCAAATAGCGTAAAAATATGGTTTATCAAGTTTGTGGATCCTATGGAGGTCACAATTTTTATCCGGTTTTGTTGAAACTTGAAATGTAAGTTTATAACACAAAGATCTCGGTTCCTTTCGATATTTGCGCATAATTTCCTGAATTATGGCCCTCAATCGTACGAAAAATCACTTTCTTTTTAGCTTGTTCTCTATCCATCTCTCGAAAATGTGGGCGTATCCTGCCTGGCAGCCGCTGGTTACATTTCTTTTTATCTGATCAGTGGGGGTCCAGTTAATTAACTACTACTCACGGGATTAGTGGGGGTGTTACAAAGAACGACAAGACGGTATCATTCAACAATGGCCGTTGAAAGGCCGATGTTTTGTTGAATTTATTAGTAAAATAGTGACCGCTGGCCGCGTTAGAGGAGTGACCGTTGAATAAAGAGATGAAACAACAGAATTTCTACAGGGGGAATTTATCGTGACCGCTTACAAGGAAATGTTGCTGAATAGGAGTGGCTGCTCATACAGATTCTACTGTATTAATATACAACTGGTCTCCTTAAGGTGGATATCATATACATGTACATGTATATACAGAAAGAGAGACACACACTAGTACACTTTGTAGTTTATACCATGGGACCAGCAATCAATCTAAAAAGTAATCACTATATTGTGTATTATATGCATGGACCTGACATAAAAATGTGGTTTGAAAATAGGATTCTGAACTTTAAATCTGCTCAAAGATTGTGATTGGTCGTATTGAGGTCTACTTCGTCAGGAAGGAATCTGATTGGTTGGTAGAGGATCTGATCAACATTGAGTTATTCGTAAGCGGGGTCTTTTTGCATCGCATCGGAATCGCTTTTGATCGTGTTCAGAGCTTGTTGGGGGCCTTGTTTGATCGACATCGTGTAGTTACCGAGTCTATCATCAAATTTGTACCGCGATTATATGTGACCTGCTAGAAATTATGAGTCTCCTTAGATCACCAAACTTTTTAGATCTGAACCACATCTAGCTTTGGTCTCACAGGGGGCTAAATTAAGAGTTTTATATAAAATAACATCAGCTCAAATAAAGTATTGATTAAGATATCCTTTTCAATTTCTTTATGTTTTTAGGTTGATATTTTCTGACAAAACCTCAAGACGACTTTTCGGTTTCCTCATATTAAATCTGTCTTTTGCATTTGTTGAATTATTATATGGAGTATGGACAAACAGGTAAGTGTTTTTAGAAAAATATCAAATTTTCCACGGCTTAATCCATGCTATAGAGTTGGGTGATATCACTGGAAACAAATATCGCGATATTTTTATACGCCCACATTTTCATGTGGACGTATTATGCCGTCGCCCCTGTCCGTCCGTCCACAATTTGTTTGTGGACACTCTACAGGTCACAATTCTTATCCGATTTTAACGAAACTTGAAATATAGGTGTATCTCCAAAAGATCTCGGCTGCTTTCGATATTGGCATGTATCGGGTCGAAATTTCATGGATTATGGCCCCAGTTTGTACGAAAAATCACGTTTTTGGCTTGTGGACCCTATAGAGGTCACAATTTTTATCCGATTTTGATGAATCTTGAAATGTAAGTTTATAAGCCAAAGATCTCGGTTCCTTTCGATATTCGCGCATATCGGACCGTAACTTCCTGAATTATGGCCCCTGATTGTACGAAAAATAATTTTTATCCGATTTAAAAAACCGTATTATTATATCACCGTTACACCCTAAGGATGGCCGAGATCGAATTTCGTGAAAATCGGCCCAAAATTGACAGACAAAATGGCCGCCGTTCGTTCTCAAATAGCGTAAAAATATGGTATATCAAGGTTGTGGACCCTATAGAGGTCACAATTTTTATTCGATTTTGTTGAAACTTGAAATGTAAGTTTATAACACAAAGATCTCGGTTCCTTTCGATATTTGCGCATATCGGACAGTAACTTACTGAATTATGGCCCCTGATTTTACGAAAAATCGCGTTTTTAGCTTGTGGACCCTATAGAGGTCATAATTTTTATCCTATTTAAAAAATCGTATCATTATATCACCGTTACACCCTAAGGACGGCTGAGTTCGAATTTCTTGAAAATCGGCCTAAAATTGACAGACAAAATGGCCGCCGTTCATTCTCAAATAGCGTAAAAATATGGTATATCAAGGTTGTGGATCCTATAGAGGTCACAATTTTTATCCGATTTTGTTGAAACTTGAAATGTAAGTTTATAACACAAAGATCTCGGTTCCTTTCGATATTTGCGCATATCGAATGTAATTTCCTGAATTATGGCCCTTGATTGTAGGAAAAATCACTTTCTTTTTAGCTTGTTCTCTATCCATCTGTCGAAAATGTGGGCGTATCCTGCCTGGCAGCCACTGGTTTTTTATAAATGTGGTATGTTTTACAGTTTATTTGTCTATATCACTAGTTTAATTCACAAACCAGTAAAAGGGCACCAGCCCAGGACTAGTACGGCTAAATAGATCACTAGCCTGTAAGTTATTTGTGGTAGCGTCGGGCTAGTGGACTTTTACAACCCTGGGTAGAATGTTCAAACTTAGTGTAGGTGTTCATTAGGTGAATGCATTGATCTAGTTTGATGATAAACATTATCTGCTTATGGTAAGCAGAGATAAGCAATCTGATTGGTTGATGCTTTGGGGCACAATAACTTTCATTATAATAAAGGGAGAGTGATGAAACACCGAGTATAGATTCATTACATCATTACCTTGACTAAGTTCAATGATGAGAATTTTATGCTGCTTAGGCTAAGGAGCGATAAGCAATTTGATTGGTCAAGACTTTGGAACATAATAACTCTGCTTTTACTTGATGTAGATTTTCATTAGGTGAATGTCTTGATTGAGTTCAATGATTAACTTTTCAAGCTAAAGCTAAGCAGAGCTATCAATTTCATTGGTCGATGCTTTGGGACAAGATAACTTTGATTCTATCTGATAGAGAGTGATGAAACTTAGGGCATAGTTGATAATCTGTTTGATTGATTGATAGTTTTGAAAAAAATAAATTTGCGATAAATTAATATGTGTCATCTATTTATTTGGGGATTTTGGCGGGGGTTATCAGCCTCACTGTTGGCTTGTTAGCATTAAACTTTATAATCCTTAATTAAATTAGATTCCCTTTAGGTACATGTAATTAAGGGTTATCTCTGGTTGGTCAGCATTAACTAAGTATTGTTGTGTACATGTATATATTGTCTTGTCATATTTTCATATTTTATCATTGCTTGATAATGACTAGAGAAGCCTAGTCGAACAGTCACTCAGTTATAAGCAGTAATTGTATTCCATAGAATTGTGATCTGTATAATAATAATTGAGCTTCCCAAATCTACATAATTAAAATTAAAGTCATTTGTAATTAAATAACTTTACACTCCAGGTCATTTTGTGGTTCTGGCTTCAATTGATGAAAGCAGTAAATTGAAACAACTTTCTCTCTTCTGATACATTTTTATACTCCCACATTGAAATGTGGATGTATATTGACGTCGCACCCGTCCGTCGTCCACAATTTCTTGTGAATGCTCTAACGCCAAAAGTTACAATCCGATTGTTTAAAATTCATATACGTTGTTGACATTGGTGATACGAAGAAGCCTATTTGATTTCTATTATTTCCATTTATAACGTCTAGAGTTATCGCCCGTATATCACTTTGTTGGACCTTGTGAACGCTCTAACGCCAAAAGTTATCTGCCGATCTTTGTGAAATTTATATGCATTATTTAAATTAGTGAAATGAAGCCTATTGAATTTCAGCAATTTCCGTTCATTACTTCTAGAGTTATGGCCCTTGTTTCACTTTATTGAACCTTGTGAACGCTCTAACGCCAAAAGTGATCATCCGATCTGTATAATATTTATGTGCATTATTTAAATTAGTAAAACGAAAATGCCTGTCAAATTTCAACAATTTCTGTAAACTACTTCCAAAGTTAAGGCCCTTGTTTCAGTTTGTAAAACCTTGTCAATCCTCAAACGACAAAAATTATAATCCGATCTGTATGGAACTGTCTTGTAAAGGCTCCCAATAACCTACAAAGGAATAAATATACGACAACCCTTGTCGACCGCTCAGAGAATTTAGCTGCTGTGGCCGTATATTTCGTTGCTTGGCAACCTATCTTGGTTTATTTTATTTCAGTTTAGGGTTAATATCTGACTCATTTCATATGTTTTTTGACTGTACAGCATTATTAGCAGGATTAGCAGCATCTGTTATATCCAGATGGCGTTCAAATGATGCCTTTTCTTATGGGTAAGTGTGATCAAACTGATTTTTATGTGTAACCAAACTAAAAGAAAATACTTGTTAGTAATATAAATGGCATAATCTTTCAAGTAGTTGTTAGCTTTCTGGGGCCATCTGATTAAGATTATCTTTTCACAATGGGTTAAAATCATTTTCTTACGACCACATAGAAATGGGTTCGTATATTGCCGCCGTCCCCATACCTGCGTCATCCAAATTCTTGTGAACACTCTAAAGATTACATTTATCATCTATGTTGATATATGTTGCTGATAGTGCTGATATCAAGTAAAATTTTACGCATCGATGCATCGGATGCAAACATCGATTCTCGTATCGATGCATTGGGAATTTTTTGCCGCCATTTTGTTAATCAAAAATTACAGAAATAACATTAGTATTTCTGATAGAAACATGAATTTCCCTAACATTATCATTAAGCCTACTATAGAAATGTCGATTTATTTGAATAAATTGATTTCCACAATATTCTGTTATTTATTATGACATTAATATCGTCTGATTCACTTCAATTGACACTCGTTAGCCATTGTTCAAATTTGTTGTGAAGGCGTGAGGGGTGAGGTGATTACAAGAGACAGCGTTTGCATTATTTATACGGATCGTATCAAAGCCTGTCTATAGGGGTTTATGAAGTATATTCTTTATTGCCCGTGGCAGAAAATAAGACTGAATCGTTTTAAAACTAGCGTTAAGAACCGGCCGCGAAATATTATCCTTCTGACAGTTCGTTTGGTCATTTAAATGAACCGTGAAATTGACCTTGGGGTTAAAGGACATGATAGCCAGGGGACGTAACCAGCAAACGCAGTCTTTGACTTTGTAGTCACTGGAAAACGGAGACAAACATAACGGAAGCGTAAACAGGTCAAGCCTAATAATTCGTGCGGGATTCATTGAATTGTTCCGTTGTTTTATTTTGAATTATATAAAACACGCAGAAAAACGTATTTAAAAGGTGTTTTTTTTATTCTAGTGGACGAACTTGTGAACTCCTCTGAGTCCTCGGACACATTAAGCTAATTATTAGTATTTTTTGCCGATGCATCGATAATACAAAAAAGTTCCGAGAATCGAATCGGCGTCAGCCGAATCGATGCATCGGCGATGCATCGATACTTGATTTCAGCACTAGTTGCTGACTTTAGTGAGATAAAGAATCCTATTTAATTTCAATAATTTCCGTTAATTTCTTCTAGAATTGTGGCCCTTGTTTCACGATAAAAGTTATCATCCGATCTGTATGAAACTTACATGCATTATTTATATTAGTAAAATAAAGAATCCTATTGATTTTTAGCAATTTTCATTTATAATTTCTGTTTATGGCCCTTGTTTCACTTTGTTGAACCTTGTGAACGCTCTAACGCCAAGAGTTATCATCTGATCTGTATGAAATTTATATGCATCATTTAAATTAGTGAAATAAAGAACCCTATTGAATTTCAGCAATTTCCGTTAAGTAACTCTAAGAGTTATGGCCCTTGTTTCACTTTATTGCACCTTGTGAATGCTCTAACATCTAAAGTTATCTGCCGATCTGTATGAAATTTATATGCGTCATTTTAATTAGTGAAATAAGGAAGTCTATTGAATTTCAGCAATTTCCGTTAATTACGTCTAGAGTTATGGCCTTTGTTAGAACCTTGTGAACACTTGACCACCAAAAGTTATCATCCGATCTGTATGAAATTTATATGCATCATTTAAATTAGTGAAACAAAGAGCCTATTTGTGCATTTTCCAATTATTACATCTAGTGTTATGACCCTTGTTTCACTTTGATATTTATGAACCTTGGGAATACTCAAACGATGAAAATGATAATCTGATCTGCATGAAATTGTCTTATAAATGCCCGTTTTTACATACAAAAGAATAAATATGCGACAAGCCTTGTCGACTGCCCGGACGATTTAGCTGCTGTGGGCGTATGTTTCATTGCCAGGCAGCCTATCTTTCACTACGATTTCTATTTTATTCATCCCATAGTAAATGTTGTAGCTGTGCTGAAAATATAATATATGATTTATATCATCTATTTCAGTTATGTAAGAGCAGAAGTATTAGCTGGTTTTGTTAATGGTCTTTTTCTCTTATTTATTGCTTTTTTTATTTTCTCTGAGGCAGTGGAGGTATGATGATTGATCTTTTATTACCTAAGGGCTTAACTAACTATAAATAATAAATATTACATCATTTTCAATAGTCAGTAATGTATTTCCGGAGCATGTCAAATGATTTAAGGGGTCTAAGAAGTTTAATTTCTGTACAATCTCTTGCCTTGAATGGGTTCATTTCAAATCTGTTGTGAAGCATTGGAGTCACGAGAAGACAAATCCTATTGCACTCGGCAAACCTCGTCAGATTCCGGTACCCTACATCTAGCCTCGGCTGTATGACAATAAGTGATATTGTAAGGTTACCGACACCCTGTCCGTATCAGCGCCTACGATAAATTAAATGAGGGGATGGGAGGGGAAGATCGCCGAAAAAGGATCTTGTCAGGATCTCCAAGATGGCGCCTGATATTGTGGTTTCCTCCTTTTTCCGATTCCATTCATGCACTCCCATCCCTCGTCCATCGTCTATAACACCCAGCCAAAACTTTCAAGATACGGGATTCTTTGAAGCTAGTCCCAACGATTAAAGGGGGATAACTCTTTATTTCCCCAACCCTGTAAGTAACGACTAAGGCTAATAAGACGTTCAATATGCCCGGTCCTTTATTTCGTGGTAAAGATTTAAAAATAACAATGAAATACATTTAGCTAAATATTCTATAACATGTTAAAATATGGGTGTCCGGCATGGTGGGAGATAATGTTCGCGATTCTCTATTACATATTGTTAACCCGGTGATAATGGCGGCATATTCATACTCTACCTACTAATAGTAGGCCTACTAATAAACGCAATACTATGGTATTCCCGTTCGAAACATTACATGTATATCTAAGTTCCCTCGCAGGCACGATTCTCACCTTTCTAATTAAGTAATTTAACACGCAGTTGTGTTTACAAGGTTCCGATTTAAGCTCTCGGTATTATGAAGAAAGATAGTTAGCCGTGGATACGACGAACCGTTATCTGCCCTTCCGACTTTCAAGCACCCTTTATATAAGAAAATTAGAGTATCACGTGACGTCATTAACCAATCAATAATTGTCCTTTTTCTGACTGTCGGCACTTCTTTGACAATTGAAGTGTTCGACGTTAAAATACTCTACTTACATAATAAATTGAACCTCTCCGGTTCTTGTCCGTTTTACTTAAATTTGATCAGGAATAATTTGAGATGTACATTGAAAAGATTGGTTATAAACAGACAAAACGGACAATAACTATAAACAGCGTAATTTTATCAAATGTGACCAAACCACGCGTAATTATTCAAGACGTAATAGGTAACAATATAATCCAATTGAACTACGTCCCCTTTGGCCATAAAACATATTAAACCCGTAATAATTATTATAGCAACCAAGATGAATTACTAGTCTTGGCAATGATGTACAATAAGCATAATCATTAATCAAATAGAAATATTATATAAAAATCTGACAAGTCGGTGCTAAGATCGACGTGACGCAAGATGGACGTCAACGTTATGAACTATGAATGTGCTCGTAACTAAGGACTATTCTAATGCAAAATTGAACGTTTCAGAAGAACTATGCAATGTTGTAATTAATAATAAGTGCACAAATACGGGGAAGATTATTCGAGAGGCTAATAAGTAAGTAAACCTTGTTAGTTTTATACAAAATATTAGTTGAAATGGTTTGTTTACACGAGGCCTTGATTTGGCATCTTACAAATCGACTGGGGTAATCACGCTATATACCAGTACCGAAATCTTTGCCACCTACTAATAATTTAACAAACGATCTAAAACCTAGATAACAATATAACAATCAAAGAATACAAAAATATATAATAATATGTACAGGACTGAATTCTATATATTACAATATGTACCTACGCCTATACAATTGCGATGTGGCACCGGTTTACTTATTAGGAAAACTTGCCGCTTTTAGAAAGAAGTTCTCACCATTGCATCGTTCGAAGAGTGTGTAGAATTCTCAGTGCAAACTTGTCCTTATCTAAAGAAAATAGGATAAACTTGAAAGAAAACCTGCTTCAGACTTTGAAATCTTTGTATGATAAAACATTCTTCAAAGGCGTCGTCATGGGCAACGCCGTTGGTAATCCGGGAACTTGAAAGTAGTTCCAATGGCGGACTTCGTCATACAGCCGAGGCTAGATGTAGGGTACTGGAATCTGCTGAGGTTTGTTGAATGATCCTATTGATATTCAACGTTTCATGACCTTCAGAGATAACCAAATTTGCTGAAAACCTTGTTAACGCGAATCGATAGTTTTTAACAGATATTTTTCAAATTAAGTGTGAAGCATTGGGGTCAGAAATGGAAAAACCTTATCAATATTCTGTTCTAGAGTTAATCCGCCTTATCTGAAAATTTTGTGAACGCGATAGAGGCTAGAGTTTTCATCAGAATATTTTCAAATTATGTCTGATACATTGTGGTCATAGAGGATAAACCAGGGCTCAGAATTGGCTGATTTGTACCTAAGGCCATTTTTTGAAAAATGGCTGTAGACAGCAAACACTGTAACATTGGTACTGTTTAATCTAGCGTAAATAGCGTTAATTTCTACACTTTGTCCAATTATTCATAAATATTGTTGAATTTCGACGAATAGTGCTCAATTTGTACTTCTATCGAATTTCAATCTCACTGTTTAATTTTGATTACCAAGCGTCTAATTAACTAGTGTTTAGTTTCTCGACACTTGTTGAATTAAAAGTGTCCCGTCTAATTTGCACGACTGTTCAATAATTAGTTGGACCATTCAATTTCCCGAGCCATGATTAAAATCAGTCAAGGTGTCCAATTACGCAAGGTGTTCAATTTTGTTGTCAAATATCTAATTTCACGTGCGATGCTCAGATATTACGATGTGTTTAGTTTTGGGTCATCGTTCAGTTTTGCCGTCGAATGTCTATTTTGCCGCACGATGTTGAAATACTGTAATAAGTGTTAGTTTTAGTACTGACCAGTTGCGATACGGTAAAATATTATTTTTCATGATTCATATGACGGCAGGTATCAGAACAAATGTCGCGAAGGTTTGACGAAACACGATTATCGTGCCGTTTTTTGTTGAAAATTGCCACGATATATAACGCGGTATAGCAGTCGCTATCGTGTGACACAATAGGTCTCGGTGTAATTTTACACGCAAAGTTAACGGTATTTATTTGTCATAAACAATCGATGTCAAAACGATATATTGCCACGATGTTATGAATGTTGAATATTTTCGTTAATAATATGGACGCGTTAGTCCATGTTGTATAGTGAAAAGATGCGTGTTCACATATTCTGCACGATATATATGCGGTTATATTTCCAACCAATTATGTAAAGCTGCATGTCTAGAACATTTTAAAGGACACGTATGCATAAGACTATACATGTATTACGCTGTGTTCAAATTGTTTTGCATATTTACTGTATTAAGATTTTATATAGTTAAGAATTACGGCAAAGATAGACTTTTAAATTGCAAACTATAAAGATATTTTGGTTATCGATCTTACAAACAGAAATAAGACATAAATAGAACTTGCAACGGGATTCGAAAGCGCTTTCAAGTCAGACGTAAGCTCGTACTTACCGTAAAAATGAACTGAACGCAACACAAGTCTCCGATGTAAGAGAATATTGGTAATTATAACCGCTATCAAATCCACACAAAAATCCAAGGCACTCGTTTTACTTTAGAAAAGAATAACTGTATTTCGACCAAAGAATCTATTCCACATGAACCCCAAATCAGTGATGAACTGTCAACTTGTTATGTAGTAATTCAGGTGCAGATTGGTTTGAATAACAGAAATGTCCCGTGTATAAAAGATCAAAGAATAAAATTGCACATAGCCACTTTGTTTATCTAAAAGGGGCTCTGGCGCACTTTAAGGAATTATTTTTGACCCAATATTAACCATCGCCAATTTTTTTAAATCATGGGATAAAGTCAATCAACAAACAATACGGGTCTACTTTATTACAAAAACATTGGTGAACTTATCATTTTGTACATCAGATAAACTACTTTTAAAGCCCAAAACTGTTCAACTAGTCTCTTATGGTCAATGCTCTTTTAGTTATCAAGCACTTGTTTTATGGAATAATCTACCATTTAGTTTAAGATGTTGTACATCTCTATATTCTTTTAAAAAAACAACTTAAAACACATTTATTTAATCAGGCTTTTAACTGACTCTGTATACAATCGTCAACATGTCCAAAATCTTGTAGGATTTACATTGTCACTTTGCAAAGTGCCCCTGAACATGTTATATGAAAGGGCGCACTATAAATATGCTGTAATAATAATAACAATAATAATGTGATTGGCCGATGCTCTGTACGATAACCTTGCTTCTATGTCAGAGTGATGAAACTTGGTGTATAGTTTCATTACACCAATAGCTTGACTACGTTCGATAATGAGCATTTTCGGCTCAGGTTAAGCAGAGTGATAAGCAATTTGATTGGTCGAGACTTTGGAGTTCGACAATTCTAATTCAGTGAGAATGGTGAAAATTGGCGTAAACATTACATCAATACTTTGACTAGGTCCGAAAATGCGCATTCCCTAGAGTTTCATGGACTAATAAAAAATTTCTGTATCGATGGTTTGGAAGTGGTGGTGAAAATTGGTGTATAGTTTCATTACATTCAGTTGGAGTATAGTTTCAGTACATCGATACCACACTGATCAGCAGTGAATATTCGCTAGGTCGCTACAATCACTGAGAGGGATGACATCGGCGGTGCGGCTTTTTTCCATCTGCAAATTAAATTCTAAAACATTTTTTGAAGTCTTAGAAAATAAATATAGGTGTTTGAAGTATACATGTACCTAGATAAAAAAAAATATTTCCTATTTAGTGTACTGTAAATGGGTATATAAAATGAGTAAATGGCCCGGACCAGTTAACGCAACACTGTCTTATGTAATGTTGGACGCCCCGTGATGTGACGTCACCTGTAGAAGGCATATTTTAACGTATAAAGGTCGGTCATCTAATACAGAG